GGGATTGCACCAGTAAATTTTATGTAGCTGTGTCACCTGCATAAAAAATTATACAGAATACAGTACATCCATCCTCCAACTGCTTATTTTACTCAGGGTTTGGGGGGGGGGGGTCACCGGTGAGACGTCACCATGAAATCTCTCTTCATTGGGGACAGTGAGCTAAGCCTCTGTGCCGGAGATCAGAAGATTCGGGCCCCAGCCTCTGTGAAATAGTCACATGTGCATGTGCCCTAAACCCGCTGCTTCTGGCGTGGCTGACCCTGTGCGGTGACCCCCAGACCGGCTCTCACCTGCCTCCGTGTCTCTTGCTGAGTGATATGGGGTAGGGAGAGAGCCAATTCTCCCATGGGGGAGTGATTCTGTTCTGTTTCATCTTCTGTGTTTGGTTCTCTGAGCTGAATGAGCAAAAAAACAAAAATCCAACAGAACATCCACTGTAAGCGTTGCTGTTATGCGCAATAACATCTGAAAAGAGAGAGCGATTGCATTTCCTGGCTCCGCTGGCGGATCCCGGTGTGTGTGTGTGTGTGTGTGTGTGTGTGTGTGTTTTTTTTAACGGGGTATTTTTTGCGCTTGATGTCAGCGTTGCAGGAACGTAGCAGCTCGGTGGGACCTGGCCCCCCACCCCCTTTGGAAAACAGCAGACGTGATACCCTGTCACATCGATTTGTTGGGGCTGCCGCTGAGCTCGTATCTGGCAAACAGAGAGCGGGGCAGTGGGGGTGAGCTGGGTGCGGGGGGGGGGGGTTTCCAGTCCGTCTCTCTCGAGCTTCTGTTGAGGCGTCCTGTAACCCAGCCGTGAAACACGTCATATCTGAGTGCAGCTGATCTCTCACGCGATCGCGTTTCCACAGCAACATACTCCTGTCGTTCTTCCTGCGGCACCAAATTGCAGGAACGTGCTCGGTAATCTTTGGCCCGTTTTGCTCGAACCCTTCTTAGAGCAGCTACGTTGCAGTCCCCAGCAGTGAGGGGGGGCTTTTATAAGCCACTTTCAGCTCAGGACGCACATATTAAAGAAGCTAATTCTTAAGAAAGAATTTGCCCCGAGGCAATTGGCCGGTGCGTTATAAACTGCAGGCTGGGTCCCCGTCATCCGGCACGTTCTCCTCCGCTCTCGCCGTATGTGGGCTGCAGTGCTGCTTGACGTCTACATTTTAAGCTGCAAACGGGACCACATGAGAGAGACTGTCTGCATCTGGGTGGCTGACTCAGTGAAAGCTGTGGACTCTTATGGAATTCACTTTGGGGCATTTGGTGCGTCGATCCACTTTTAGTTTGAGGCCGATGGACGGACCGTCAGCACGCTGGAAGGGAGGTGGTCTTCGGTTTGGGCGGGGTTTTAAGGGAGGGGAGACGGGGGTGTCGCCTTCAGACGCCGAGCTGGTCCGTTGCTCATCTTTGCTTTTGAATACAGCAGCGCTCCCCCCCCCCCCCCCCCCCC